TCACTATTATGCAAAATGAATTTGAGATGAGTATCATGGGAGAGTTAAATTTCTTCCTTGGGCTCCGAGTGTTTCAAACTCAAGAGGGTATATTCATTAATCAAACAAAATATACAAAGGAACTTCTCAAAAGATTCGGAATGTAGGATTCGAAACAAGTTGGAACACCTATGTGTACATCCACCAAACTCGACAAAAATGAAAAAGATACGAAGATTGATGAGAAGAAATATAGAGATATGATTGGTAGCTTATTTTATTTAATAGCAAGTAGACCTAATATTATGTTTACCGTTTGTTTGTGTGCTCATTTCCAATTTTGTCTTAAGGAATCTCATTTAATTGCTGTTAAAAGAATTTTTAAATATTTAAAGAGAATCTTGAATTATGGTCTTTGGTATCCTAAATGTCATGAATTTGCCTTATGTGATTTTTCGGATGATGATTTCGGTGGGTGTAGGATAGATAGAAAAAGTACTAGTGGAACATGTCACTTCCTTGGTATCATGATTTAGCAAGAAATAAAATGCTATCTCTTTGTCTACGGCGAAAAAGGAATATATAGCCACCGGTGCATGTTATGCTCAATTGTTATAGATGAAGCATGCCTTAAATGACTTTGAACTAGTCTATGATTGTGTGCCTATGTATTGTGATAACACGAGTGCTATAAATTTGATAAAAAATCCCATTCAACACTTTAAGACAAAGCACATAGACATAAAGCATCATTTCATTCGTGATCTTGTCCAAAAGGGTGAAATTTGTGTAAAATATGTTTGTTCGAAAGACCAAATTATTGATATTCTTACAAAAGTTTTACCTTTGGAATAGTTTATATTTTTAAGGAGAAAATTGGGTGTTTTGGAAAAGACTATCTAAAACTTTTTCAGATAAGTTCTATCGGACGTCCAACCGTTGATGAACGGGCGTCCGACAGTTTTCTAAGCCTTTTTTCAAAAAAGTTTTGCATCGGACGGTAGTGTCGGACGACTCTCTTCGTTCGGCCATCCAACTCTCAAAAAGGGCATATTATAAAGAGTGCTTCTTTTCATTTGGTTCAAATGCATTCTCTCTCTTCGAACGCACCCCTTCTTTTCTCTCCAACTGTAAAAATTCAAATTCGTTTCTTCTCAAGACAGATTTCTAAAAATTGACTCCACAAACAATCTCACAGCCTCTTTGCAAATAGATTAGCATCCAAACTTTCTTCTAACTATCAAACATTCATCCGATCCCAAATTTTATGAGAAAACGTAGTTTTTTAAAAACTCACCCACCTTGACAGATTCGAGCATTCATCTTCATCTAAATAGCACAATTAGTCCATTTCATCCACATTCTTATCACATTCTACAAGCGAATCACTCGGCATTTCACTATGGTGCGATTGAGAGGCGGGTCTTCCAGTGCCGGATGCACAACCTCACTCAGAGATGAAGAAGTTGAGGTGCCATCAACAAGAAAATCTGCTCATCGGTCTGAAAAATGCACTTCCAGTAATAAGAAGAAACGGATTGAGCAAACAGAGCCACAATCCACTACACTGCTCAGAGACAAATTTGAGTAGATTTCACAAAAAGGTTTCATCACTTAAAGAACCATCATTCCCTCTAAATTTCGTAAGCTTGATTTGGACTCTATTCTTAAGCTTTTTGATTTTCAAAAATGGTTTCATATTCTGTCCCTGTCCAACACCTACTACTTTGAGATGTTATATCAGTTTTTTGCCAATCTTAGGAAGGGTAACTCACATACTGAACTCATTTCTTGTGTTAATGGAGTGAATATTCTTCTTACTCCTGATATTGTCAGTTTTGTTTTGAAAATAAAAATTGAAGAAGACTGTCGTAGTAAAATTATGAATTTTTTCTCATATGAAGAATTTTCAACTATTTATCATCATTTTCATACTGAAAAACTGATGACTTACTTTCATACTTACTTTAACACTTACTTTAACACACCTACTGAGGCTAAGTTGGAGGATCTTAGTTCTCAAAATCTGATCATTTTTACAATCATTTCCAATCTGTTGGTTCCTATTAATGGTCACGGGATTGATGCAAACAAAATGGAACTTTACTTATTTTATTGCTTTGTTGAGAAAATTCGAATTGACTTTGGTTTTGTCATGTGCAAATTTCTGCTCAAACTTAGTACTGACAGCCGTAGGAAACTTTCTTATGAGAAGTTTTTGACTCCAATTTTTGCTCATTTCAAAATCCCTTTCACTGGAGTATCTCCAAAAGAAACTTCCTCTTCTGTTTTCACCAAAACATATTTTGAGAGAAAAAATATCAGATTTTTTGACAGCCACTGGTGTTATAAGGAAGCTATTTTGGAATTTCGAACCAAAAGTCGTCATGAAGCCTCTGTTACTTCTAGACCTTCCAAATAGCTTGGTCCTACTTCACCCTTTTCCATTCATCTTCGCAAATTCTCTTCTTAACCCACTTCATCCACTAATGAAGTCATTAGGCTACTAGAGGATCTCAAGAATCATGTTTTTCTTCTTGAAGATGGTTTAATGATGACCATGTCACCTAAGCAACGGACTGCATTCTTGGATAAAAGAAATTTACTTATGCCTCCTGTCCTACAAGAGGAAGAACCTATACATGAAAAGGAGCCACGGACTGAATCCATTCATCCCACTGTTGAAGTAGATGCCTCGAACTCTCAGCCTACTTCTCCTGATCCCCCATCTTCAGAAAAAGACAAAGCTCCAACCACTGAACGAAGTGAAGCAGATGATGAAGAGACTGAAAACGAATTGGATCCCTCTCAGTTTCATCTTGCAAGAAGAAGGCCCAGATCGTCTAAGATCACTATTTAGGCACTCTAGGGTCATTTGCACTTCATATTAAGTTGCATTTTCAGTTTTCTTTTGTCATGTTTTTGATGTTTCGTATTGTGTTTCCTTTGATGTCTTTGAATGTTACCATTTATGGCTACTGGCTAATATGAATGATGTTTATTAATATCCGTTGCTATTATTTTTCTGATTGATATTGGCTACTTTCTGATTTTATGATGACAAATAGGGGAGAAATTACTGAATGATTTTTGAATTAGTGTAAGAGGGAGTTTTTTGATGGAAATTACTTTGCTCATGTTGGTACTAAATTGGTTATGGATGCTATGTGTAAGGGAAAGTTTTTCAAAACATTGATTATAGATGCTATGTGTAAGGGGGAGTTTTTTTTCAAAATATCATCCATTGTTTTGTTATTATCAAAAAGGGGGAGAATGATGATCTTGATCCCCGTTCTTTTGATGCTTACAAATAATTGGATAATACTAATATTTTTCAATGAGAAAGCTTTTCAGCTCTGAAGAAATTTGATTCAAAAAATAATTGAAAGAAGAAAAAGGAAGTCGAAAGATGTTAGACGCTCACAATGGCAATACCGGACGTCCGATAGACAGGACAAATATTGGACGATCATATCGGACGAAAAATATCATCACCGGAGGCCGAAAGAATTCAAATGACTTATCAAACTCTCTATCCGCTTTCAGACGCAAGCATCGAACGAAGAATATCATCACCAGACGTCCGAAAGAATTGAAATGACTTCTCAAACTCTCTGACCGCTTTCGGACGCAAGCATCGGAAGTATTGGACGTTTGATACTTCCAACAGTTAGTTGACTCTTCAGTTACCTTCTATCCGTTGGAAATCTTAATGAAGGACTTTCTTAGTCTCATATAAATAGTGCATGGCCAGAAACTTAAGAAGGACTTTTGCACACTGAATACAAAAGATCAAGAGTAGTTTTAGTGAGAAAATACTCTCCAAGGAACATTTGTACTCTTTGTGGTGTAAGATTCTTTGTAAGCTTTTCATTTGTGAGAGAATACTTCAATAGTGTAGCTTTGTGAAGGTTATCTTGAGGGATTGTAAAACTTCCTAAATTGACCGAGTGAAACTTGGGATAAGGAGGAAGTGAGCCTTCATTTGTACCTAAGATTGGTTATATTTCATCAATTTAAAGAAGCTTGTTTTATGAGTTGATCTTCAAGTTCAAGAGGAGCTTGGTAGTCAATTGGTTTGCAATTCTTCTCTTTTTATTTATCATCTTGTGAACCTTAAATTGCATATCTCTTCTATTTCTCTTAAGTGATATTGCTCATTTATTGATTGATTCATTGTGTGATCACTTAGAAAAAAGGGTAGATTTCGTATTAAGCAAAAAGTGCCCATAACCTGATTAGTTTTTTAATCAATCTAATTCACCCCCTCTTAGGTTGTCTTGGGAACTAACAGTCTTGCCCTTGTCATTTCTGCATTATTGTTCATTAAAAAGTTTCTTTCTGGGACATATGAGCATATTGTTCTCTATCTTCCCGTGTTTAGCTTGGCTACATTGCAATGTAAACCAGTCTTTTCGGAATGATTGCTTTTGGTCATGTATTAGGATAAGGGGACTAAAGAAAAGTTAATATGACGTCAATATATACTGTTGGTCTGGAAATGTTATGATTCTTTAAGTGTGTATCTTTTTCATCTCAAAATTCAAAAATTTTGAATTGGCAAGAAGTATCACTTAGCTTTTCCCATTATATAAGTGGTTCTCTGAGCTTCGTTTGTTGGAGCATTTGCACATGGTTAAGTCAGAATATTGTGTTAGCTTGCACATGTTTTTACTTTTTAGACTTTAAGAATTAGCATAGTACAATACTGATGGTATGATGTTGGTGAGCAATTAAGGCAAACTTGTTACCTGCTAAAACGTCTGTAATTTATCTTTTCTGATTTTTACTGGATTTGAGAAGATGGGCGCAATTTGTTAATTTTATTTTCTTATTGGTACACTATATTTTACAAATGAACTTATTATGCCTAAATTAACTATGTGAAGGATAATGGAATTGCTACTGGTAGTAATTCACAATCTTCGATTGCTGAAACTGTTAATAGTGGAGAATCAGCAAGTCAAAATCATAGACAAAAATCCGATATAGCATGGAATTATTGTTCGGAAGTTGTCAATATGCAAGGAAGAAGAACTTTGACATATGGGTATTGTTTTAAAGTAATTGCTGGTGGTGGCATTCATCGAATGAAACAGCACTTGGCAGGTGAACAAGGCAGCATTGTTCCATGTTTAAGGATTGACCCGGCAATTAGACATGCTATATTAGCATCTATGAAGGAGAAGGAGCAGAAATCTAAAGAAAAAAAAGGCAATTTTGGGGTGGAAAATCCATTCGGCCGCACTACTCATACATTTGATGGCGATGAAATTCAGGAGATTCTTTTTCCTTCAGCAAATGAGATAGGTGTGTCTAGTAAAGGAAAGAGAAAGGTCACTGTTTCAATAGGTATACGACCTTTTTTAAAAGGTGGGCGTGATACTTCTCAACTAACCATTAAAGCTTGTTTGCAAAGTAAGGAAAAATGGGAAAATACGGGCATGGCTATTGCTCTTTGGTTTTATGATGCTTACATTCCCATAAATGCTGTTAACTCTCTATTTTTTCAAAAATCTATTGATCAAATAGCATCAATGGGTCATGGTTACAAAGGTCCATCCTATCATTCTTTAAGAGTTAACTTGTTGCGAAATGCCAAGAGAGATGTGAAATTAGTTGTTGATTCTTTTAGAAGTACTTGGGCAGAAACTGGTTGCACTCTAATGGGTGATGGATGGAAAGACACTAGGCAAAGACTATTGATTAATTTTTTGGTTTGTTGTTCTAAGGATATTTCTTTCATTAAATCTGTGGATGCATATGATATTGTAACAAATGCAGAAAATTTGTGCAATTTATTTGCTGAAATTGTTGAGATGCTTGGTTTAAAAAATGTGGTGCATTTAGTTACTGATAATGCTAGCAATTATAAAGCTGCTGGGTCTTTGTTAAGTGAAAGATATCCGAACATTTGTTGGTCCCCATGTGCTGCACACTGCATCAATTTGATTTTGAAAGACATTGGTGAAATGAATGATGTGAAAGGTGTAGTGTCTCTTGCTTCAACAGTGACCATTTTTATCTACAATCATAAGTTCACTTTGAATTGGTTAAGAAAGACTACAGGGTGGAAAGAAATTATTCGTTCAGGTGAAACTTCATTTGCAACTACCTTTATTGCATTAAAAAGTTTGCATGATCATAAGGATAGTTTGCAATCTTTGGTTACTAGTGAAGATTACAAAAAATTTCTGAGAATAGAGAAAGGAAAAGAGGTGAAGCAAATTGTTTTGGATGAAAGATTTTGCAATAACTGTTTGATTATGGTGAGAATAATGGGCCCTGTCATTCGTTTATTGCGTATTTGTGACACTGATGAAAGGCCTTCATTGGGTTATGTTTATGAAGGCATGTTTAGAGTAATAAATGGCATCAAGAAGCTGTTTAGAAATAAAGAGAGATTGTACATGTGACAGTCCCACCTCCCCCTAAGGCGAACCAGAGGGTTCGGCGGACCGCCTGCCCAGCTCTCGCCGGGACTCAGTCGAATCTCAATCAAATCCGAAATAAAACCACAAGATCAAATGAAATAACAATCTAAAACTTAAAGCGAAACTTATATACATTTCTATCTCAAAAGGAAGTACAAATATCGAATATATAAAGGTTCTCAATTCGTCATACATCCTGCCCGTGCCAAGCACTAGGGCGAGAACCATTACAAAACACAAAACTAGACTAGGCTAACCTACACTGGGCTCTCGTCCTTGCTCGCATCCCCCTGTTAAGGAAAACAAAACTAAAGGGGTGAGCTAAAAGCTCGGTGAGGTTCCGAACACATATTCAACAACAAAGCCAATACTTTAACCATCGATAATCAATAATTCAAGAAACATTTACTATGGAAAGCGATAATAACCCATACATTAAAAGGATACGGGCTCACAGGGAGCCATTTGTTCGTTCGTTCGTTCGTTCTCCTGCCATTCCCCTTATTCCTCCAATCATTTGAAAATGTATTTTTGTAAGTAAACCCCTCGTTCGATCGTTCATTTCATTCACCCCCTCCTGGACATTGGCCAGGCTCCACCAACCTACAAGGTAATACTCGAGTATACCAAACGTTCACACCCAGGGTAACCATATCGCCCGACCGAGTCGGCTTTTGGCTCGAGTCGATCGGTAACGAAGGGCAGGGCCCAATTCAGCCAAAAGGCTTACATCATGCACAACTAACGTTTCAATCACTAAATCATTGAAAATTTCACATTCATTTAGGTCGAGTGCGATAAGTACACACGCGCCTAGAAAACTCGTTTTGATAATCATTAAAAGCACTTAACACGTTATCAAACAATAACACAAGTCATGAAGTCAAGAAAAATATAGCAAACAAGGAACACTCACCTATTTAAGCAAAATAATGTCCAAAGTATCCTCCCGGATAACACTCTCAATCGCCAAGAAACCCTAATAATAGCCAAGAGAAAATATTACAGTTAAATCCCTCTAAAGTTTAAGGGAACCCAAGAAAATCCGAATAACTACTAGTACATAATATAAGTATAGTTTTGGAAGTGAAAAGAGTACATTTAAACCAAAGGCTATGAGTAAAATATTTGTAAAACTTTGAAATCTCCATATAAGTCGAAGTGACAAAGAAAACGTACTCCGAGCAGTCATGATTTTTTTTTCCTCAAGGGTATAAGTTCGGCCAAGTCCTTACTTATATACCTCGATAAAAGAAGATGCAAACATCCTAGATGGTTCAAGTGATATTCACTCTTAACCCTTACTCAAGTTGCAAGTATAGTTCTCTAGTTCTCGAGCATAAATTTGGGCAGCACGCCCTTTGTGTTTACCTAATTTTCCAGGCTTCATTATTTTCCTCAGCCAATCCCAAAGTTATACACAATATAAATTCATCACAATAGCCATTCAATAGGCTCAAAGTCATATGAGTACAAAATCAAGTTAACAACATGTGCGGAAATGAGCTTTAGTAAAAGACAGAATTGATAGGGTTTTGCGGAATGATAACATCCGAGGCTACGCTTATCGGATTGGTGTGAAACTTATACCGTTTCGAAGCTAAGACAGAGAGATACAACTTTGATGAAGGCTACTCAGTCCAGTTTAAAATGTATCTAGGTCAAATTTACCAAAACAACCCCAGATTTTCCAGTTCAGTGTACTGCAGCAGTCCTGACTTATTCAGTCATATCGCAACACCTATAACTCCAATTCAAGTGATTCCAAAGCCATTGGAAAGCTAAGATACAAGGCTATAATTCTTAAGAAGACATCATCAACCAATTCGGTAATATTCCTGGTCAAACTAACCACTTACAGAGGCTGATTTTTATTTTCGGGCAGAAACAGGGCAGCAGGGGTATTTCGGTCTTTTTACAGGCTACGTTGTTCCGATTGAGCTGTAAGTTTTCAGGCAACTATAAAACATCATTCTATACAACTTTTATCTTTTGTACCAAGGCTAGTTCGGCCTCTAACAAGGTGAAATAGAACCAGGCAGAATTGGGAAAAAAAATGAAACCCTAATCTGGAATTCATGCATTCAAGTGCTAATCTTCCACAAAACAACATCTAAAACAACTAAAAACCACTACTAAGCAATTAATTGAAGTAAAGAAGAGGTTCTTGGCAAAATACCTTATCTCCCTATGAAAGATGGTAGCTTAGGCTTTGTCCTCCAAAAATAACTCCACAAACACCTTGGAAACTACTTGGAAAGTAAGTTTTATGGAGTAGTTTGCAAATTAATCGGTTGAAACTCAAGATTTGGGCAAGAAATTGAAGTGGAAGGTGAAGAACTCTCTTGGTTTCTCTCTCACTAATTTCAGCCAAAGGAGACAAGAAAATGAATGAATTTTGGTCAAAAATCTGATTTTAGTAAAGTTACCAACCTTGGTCAAAAGTCCAACTTCTAATAGCATAGTGACACTTGGCTCCTTTTAGGGTTTTAAGCTTATCCTTTTGTCTACCAATGGTAATTTATCTAGCTAACTTTTAATTGTCTCCTAGCACCTTGTAAAATAATAATACTTCGCACAAAAATCACTTAATCACCAAAAGTTTGTCGCACTAGCGGGTCCCACGTCCATAACGCACTTCAAATTTAACCCGAACTAACTTATACTAGAAAAATGGTTGAAAAAACTATATTCACTTATAAAGTGTCCAGAAAATTAATGTAGTAAAATAAAATAAGGAAAATGCATGAAAAGGAATAGAATTAAATGGTATAAATTAAGAAAAATTTTACGGGCTCTCATACTCTCTCCCCCTTAAAGAAATTTCGTCCTCGAAATTTTCCTTTTAATGGGATCCATCAAATCTAAAGTGACCAATGGCCTGTACCTTCTACGTCCTCAGAAGAAACGAGGGTCTTCATTCCAGTCCCTTCTCTATTTGACGGTCCAGGGTCGGTCTGGGTTGGCTGCTGGGTTTCTTTCTTTTCGCGCAATTGAACCGGGCAATTAGCAATCCGATGTTCGGCGCTCCCACAGCACAGACATCTTCCCCCCTTTTTCTAACAACCCACTTCAATATGATTGGATTTTCTATAATAGCTACAAAATGGAAAAGGAATTGAGGTTTGATCTCTTCGTGAGATACCTCTCAGTGGTCCTTTTCCACTCGGGTCTCCTCCTGGAGTATCCTTCCGAAGTGTCTCCAAAATTTTCACACCACCCGCTCCACGACCCTTCTTAGAAAATGACCTACCTTGCTTACCCTGTTCTGGCCTTTGACTCTCAAGAGATGCGCTCCTTTTCTTTGCATGGAAGGTCTTCACTTGTGACCTTGCAATTTCTGTCCTTTGAGTTTTCTCTGGAACCCCCATAGAAGTAGTGCTTGGTGCCATTGCTAAGGCCTCCTCGGAAATTCCTTCGTATTTCCTTTTTAGCTCTAAGTTCTTGTACAAGAGCTCAATTTTTTCTGAATACTCGTGCTTCCATTGCCCTTCCCAGTATGCGGCTAGTTTCTTTTGGACTTCTATTTCGTCTCGAAGAACCACGATTTCCTTAGACATCTCAACCCAATGTGCCATCTCACAGAATTGTTGGAACTCAGATGATAGCCTGTCGGGCAAAACAATGGGTCATAATAAATTCTTAAACACAAGTGGCACTCTCGGTCCGTGTTTTGTTCAGCTGTTGTTTCCCCTTTCTTCTCTTGACTCTTGGCCTCGCTTTGTTCCACGGCTATGACCATGTCTGCGACTACGTCTTCCTTCCATATATATATATATATAGTTTTTCCCCTCCCTCTTTCTTTTTTTTTTCAAAAGGGTACTTTAATGAATGAATGCAGTAAATTGACTAAAATAACAAAATCCAACATACCAAATACACAAATAAACATATCCGCACATAACACGTTATATCAAGAAGACAGATAAACAAATACACAAATACATATCAAGTTGGCCAGATAACCATGTACACAAACACACATACTAACATCAGGTGGTAGCAATATACGGGCAAATCAAAAGGAAAAGGTGAAGTCGTCCCAGTCTCAGCTAAGATAACCCCGTCCGGTCTCTCACGTCACTTACTATCCAAACTAGATGTCCATTGACCTCTTGTACTCATTCTAGCCAGACAAAGCCTGTTCATGTTCCCAAAATGCAAATCTCAAATACTTAACTCCGCCTCAACTCTGGAGTACTCGGGCACAAGAATCCGAAATAGGACAATTCACGTCTCGAGCTGGCCAGTCCCAAGAGTAAACCATCTACAAATCGAAATTCCTACCCGACATACCTATCTATGGTCCTTAGATACCATGAGAAAGATTTAAGACCTATAACACTTCAGGGTTCATAGCTTATGCTCGAACGAGCACTTAGTCCTTCATACCTATTCACCACTCAGTCCAGGCTCACTCCGCGCAGAGACCACGCGAAACAGGCTCTGATACCACCTGTGACAGTCCCACCTCCCCCTAAGGCGAACCAGAGGGTTCGGCGGACCGCCTGCCCAGCTCTCGCCGGGACTCAGTCGAATCTCAATCAAATCCGAAATAAAACCACAAGATCAAATGAAATAACAATCTAAAACTTAAAGCGAAACTTATATACATTTCTATCCCAAAAGGAAGTACAAATATCGAATATATAAAGGTTCTCAATTCGTCATACATCCTGCCCGTGCCAAGCACTAGGGCGAGAACCATTACAAAACACAAAACTAGACTAGGCTAACCTACACTGGGCTCTCGTCCTTGCTCGCATCCCCCTGTTAAGGAAAACAAAACTAAAGGGGTGAGCTAAAAGCTCGGTGAGGTTCCGAACACATATTCAACAACAAAGCCAATACTTTAACCATCGATAATCAATAATTCAAGAAAAATTTACTATGGAAAGCGATAATAACCCATACATTAAAAGGATACGGGCTCACAGGGAGCCATTTGTTCGTTCGTTCGTTCGTTCTCCTGCCATTCCCCT